GATTACAATAGATGAACGAGAGTTCATACCAAGATTCCGGATACCACAGGCAAAAATTCCCCGGACGCCTTTACATGTGGAGAATGTATGTGTCCAATGAGTTTGGCATGTGCATTTTGATGCCATCAGCTATAATAAATTTCGAATACTGGATTGTCCTTGAACATGATTACTTGAGTCACTGGATGGATGCAAACGGTACTACTTAGAAAAGCTAAGTGAACTTCTACTTAAGCTGCGCATTCAGTGCACTGAAAGTAAAATGCCTCAGTTAAGCGCTGATCGTTCTGCTATATATGGGACTGTCTCCGTTTGAATGTAACAAGTTCAGTATTTGGATATTCTGATCAAGACCAGATAGAACTAAAAAACGAAGTTTCCTTATGTTGGCCTGAACTTGATCTAGGAAAGAAGAAAAATGGATGATAGACATTAGGGCCATTTATATGAGGAAAATAAGACGCGACTTATTTTAGACGAAATGTGCCGTTTATACAGAAAGTTTGCGTCTTATCTAAGACGCGTCTTATTTTTCCTCATATAAATGGCCCTAATGTTACACCCCTCAATGATAAAAGGTTAAGAAAAAAAGTAGACTCGGGAAAAGCCGTGGCTTGATCGATTTTGCGTTACATGGATAGAAAAGCGCGCATTCTGGCAACTGAGGTCAGACGAATTTCATGGATATGCAAGTCATTGATGGTGCGAAGTTGAGATTCCATAGCATTTCAACTTTCCCAGTGTGAAATAACCCTCACATCCGTCCTTTTCTGTATCTCCAAATCTTAACTGAGAAACGGGAAGGAATGCCTTTTCGGTAAGAAGCCCGCTATCTTCATGGCATGAGTTATCTCGGTAGTCGCAATTGCATTTTTTATCCCGGTGTGCGCATGAGTCCGTTTAGGCACAGCCACATTGGCGTTTCTTAGTGGTGCCACCCCAGTAATCCATTTTTCGTCCATCTCGAGGCGCCCACCAAGCCTTTCCACCTTCAAGCAGCTTGGAGTTAAAAAGTGCGTAGCTAATGTACTTCTCTCAACGTGCCGATACATCTATCAAGGCTTCCAACTGGATGAGGAGGACACCTGTGTATGTCACATAACGTTCATAGCACCCTTGAGGATCACAGCCGTCTACATGGGTCCTGTTTTCAGTGTCGTGACTAATAACCGTCACGCCATCGCCTTCCTTGTCAGTCATGTTACAATAAGCCTGGAATGATGCCTTTCCTCCTTGACCATCGGGGTCAATGATGTACCAGTCGATTGCATCACTTATATTGGCTTTTACTCTGCATGCTGCACGTTTCAGGATAAATGACCTGGAGTACGATGTGAACATGTGACCCGAAATTGGAGCATTAATTTGCGAAAGTTTCTTCATGACTTTTGTTTACCGATGTTATTATCAAACTAGCTGTTTATGCCATCAGGGAAAACCCCGTTTTTATCACTGTTGTAAAGCTACTTGATTATCGCGTGCCCGTAGATTGAAACGGGGCAGAAAAATTGTTTTGTTTCGGCCAATATAAAGCGTTAGCTGAATCTATGGACCTTTAACTCTCTATGGTGCTTGAGTGGTCACTCTCATTTGGGTGTTCAGTGGCTCTTGGGTGCTCCGTGGTGCCTGAGTGATCACTGGTGTTTGAGTAGTCACTGGCATTAGGGTGTTCAGTGGCTCTTGGGTGGTCTGTGGTGCTTGAGTGATCATTGGCGTTTGGGTGGTCAGTGGATCTTGGGTGGTCCCTGGCGCTTGAGTACTGACTGGTGTTTGGGTGGTCAGTGGCTCTTGGGTGGCCTGTGGTGCTTGAGTGGTCCCCGGCGTTTGTGTTGTTAGTGGGTCTTGGTGGTTCTGTGGTGCTTGGGTGATGCCAAACACTCGAGTGGTATGTGGCGGTTCAATGCTTCCAAGCACTTGAGTGGTCTCTGGTGCTTTCGACTTCTGCGAAGCTTGGAAAGTACACGCAAAACTGATTAGATTTAAACAAGGAATTTAATGGCTGACACTACTAGTATTTTTAAAATGTGAAATAATCTAACGTGAACATTTGCTCGTGTGATGGCGGCTAATGGATCACTGACTTCGGTCAAATAACGTAACTTTTGAGAACACTTTGTTTTACCGTGACCAATAATGCCCTTCATCATCTTCACTGTTACGCGACCTTCAAAATTCAAACCAACCATCAAACAAACAATTTTAACGGTGCGTGTGCCTTATTTAGAAAATACACTGTATGCTGATGATATATATTTATAAATGTCGATCATGTCTTATTATTCTTTTCTTTATTTTTATTTCTTGATGGAATAATATACTCCTTTCATATCTTTTCTATTTTTTAATTTCCCTTTTGTTCTCTTATATTGTAAATAACATGACCAAAATTTGGTCGTGTAAAGTAATGTATATTTTGTTTACGGATACTGCAATTCTCCACCCAAGAAACTCTAGGGAGTTTACCTGGATACAGTTTAAGGCGCAGTGATATCTGGGATAGCGTGGGCGAAAAACATTAGTTATGATATCGATTCGTCGATGGGATTCAAGGCAACCATTAAGAATTCCAATAATCGTTGAACCGAAAGCTTGTACGGGCCATTCCCTTATAGTTGCCGAAGTGGGAAATTGGCTTGCTTTAGTATGTTCACTGACTACATGCCTAAACAAAGTATAATTGCGGGCGACAAGAGGAGCCTGCAATCCTAATCTCCAGGTTATTACTCATGCGTCACATGTATGTAGCCAGCATGCGAATTTTTTTGGGGGGAGCACTTTCTTGGGGAGCTTGGCCACTCCTCAGGCAAGTTAAGGCATGGGTTAAAAGGCTGAAAAGACTCCCCGCAGGGAATGCAAACATTCTCTATAATGACGCAGAAGAATCCAAGTAAAGAGTTCCACAAAGATATGATAAGACATATCTCACTAAAATAGTTTTGGAAAATTCATTCCAAGCATCACGTGACATTCCGTGGATCATGACGTCACAAAACCTGCTTTCTCAAACGGGGCAAGGTTGTTTAACTTCAGCCTAAAAATACTTGTCATCAAATTGTCAGCGAAACTGTCTAGATTGTCAATTAGCCTTGCAAGGTGGATTAAAGGATTTTTATTAAGAGTTATTAAAGTATTTTATAAGTCACGTGACCTGTTTTTCTTTATTTCGTAATCCTTGCTCTACTTAGGCATAAATGCTCGGCTGTTTCATAATGTCCAGGCAGTGGGACTTATATTTCAACAATGAATATGTCACATATTGTTACATCCACTAAGAATGAATAGAATCCACAGAACGCAATCTGATCACGAGCGTCTCGACCACGAGTGTTTTGACTATCTGTCACGCGAAACTTACGCAAAGCACAGCGTTGGAACAAAAGCGTTTTGACCTCCGATCGTTGTCGCCCGCACTCCCTAACCTTTGTTTACTAGTTTTATTTGAGCCGGGAAAGTACCTGTGGGAGTTGTCACCGTGTGTTCCTTACATCGGTATCCCTTGTCGGTGTATCCATTTTGACATGTTGAATGCGGCGGACACAAATTCCCTAAACAGGCGTTCTGAAGATATAATAACAGTATACAAGAATATATTACATGTACAGAGTCTGAGGTACTTCGAAAGGAAGTAGACTCAACAAAAAACGGTATTTTGAAAACGGATCAAGATAATTGTTATGCTTATTACCTCTTCTGAAATACCCTGAACGTTTTTTTTTTTGCTAATGTACACTAAGTGGATTAAAAAATACTAGTCCTATTTAACACTAATTTACCGGCTCACCTCGACGATCATGCTCCACCTACTTATAAAATGACTTTTGGGTTCAAACCTTTTTACAGTACTTTACGTGTTTGTTTGTATATCTGTTTTACTTTATTTTAATTAAGTTCTTTTATGTTCTATTGGCTCTCGTATGGAGTATCTGAAAATGTAATATCTGATGTTTCGTTGCCATTTCTTATGAACTATATTTTATAACCACTCTAAGCCCATAATTTTTAATACGTAGAAAATATGCGCATGATGGATGCCCAATTTGTTGATATCTTAGTTAACGTGGCCGTAACTCCACCATCCATACCGGATTTTGGAGAGAAAGGGGACATAACGAATTTCTGTTAGGAAAAAAAGGTGTATAGTGAATTAACTTTTAGAGAAGAGGCGAGCTGAAAGTTGAGTTTTCCTAAAAACAAGACCGTGAAATATTAGGTTGACTTAACAGCTCAAACGAATACGCCTTCACCCTTTTTTATTTTGCGACATTTTTCTGTTTTTCCGGTCTGTCTTAGCATTAAAGTTATGATGTTGAACTTTTCTGATAATGGACGGAAACCTGGATTCAATTTCGTTCTCCACAAACTGGCAACGAGTTTGCTACTTGTGGAAACTTAACGACTTTAAAGTTACGATGCCATTTCTTAGATATGACCAGAAACAAGGAACCAGGGAAAGGTAAGTTTCACGGTCAAGACCTGTCATATTTTATATTTGGGAACAAGAAGTGGGGCGGGGGGGGAGGGGGGGGGGTTATTGAAAGGATCAATGGGTATGGACACCCTCCTCCCCCTCCCTGGAAGGACCTCACCCATGATTGGTTCAATTCTGATTACCTTACAAAACCTGGCATAAAATTGCTGGCAGTTTTTTAGTGCCCTAACCTCCATGCTTTAGGGAAAACAAAACAAACTAACATTTGAGAGATTTAAAATGACGTTACCACCAAACGTCAAATTGTACAATGTGACCAAGTTTTTCCTTTACCTGTGGTTTGTTTTTTTATTATTTTTACATCGGAATAAATTGTTTCTTGTAACGTTTATTCATCAACTTTTTTTGGACAGTTTTTACCTATTCATTCCATAAAGTAGTATACTATGTTGAAAGATAAATTGGAATCCACCAACGGGGCTTATCTTTCAACATAGTATACCACTCCATAATTTGTAAAATTTTAACTAATGCATCTCGAGTTTGTCGTGTTCCGTAAAAGTGACTCTAAGTCTCTCGATTTTCTTGTGGACGGAATTATTTTGTCAATACTAAATAGCTCTATTGTTCGTCACTGTAACACGGCCTTTTGTGTTCACTGAACGTGATACCCTTTACCTTGATTGGTTGATAGACGGCTCCAAATTGGCGCCTCAGATCCTCTGGATGGGTTTCATGGTCAGAATTACTCAATTCACAAGTTATCGTTCCATCCGTAGGCGAGGTTACAACGTTGAATGATATACAATCGCTTTCCAAGTAGCAGTTTACATCGCAATCTGTTTCGCTTTTTACTTCAACGCTCTTGAAAATATGTCCTTGGAGATTATATCCCTTCATGGCAGACTTAAATTCCAATATGCGGCAGACATCTGGTTTGAGAAATAAAAAAAATAATAATAATACAAATTATACTACAGCAATATATAAAAAAATACATTTTACAATTCAAAAAGGATGAAAGTTTGCTTCAAAGTCAACTGATAGTTTAATTGTTGATTAAAAATCAACAACAGCAACACAAAGCGATCCACCTTGCGCCAAAAGGCTGGAATATGAAAGCCAAAATATTTGCCGAAACAAAGATACCATTGATCCCGAAAGTTCGAGGTTACTCAAAATGAACGGCTTAACGTTGGGTACGAGAAGAACATAAACCCTTTTTTATGCTATGGTCTTCGTCTTTCATTTGTAGGTGCTCTCAACAGTGATGAGAAACAATCATGAAAGAGGGAATATAACGAATTTGTAATCAATATTTTATAACGATTAGCTGAATATTTAATTATTTATGAAAGTTTTTAAGCGTTCTCAACTGAATAAGGACAAACAGGGAGAGGAAATACTTTTTTTTATTAAAGATTTTCCATATTTAATTTCTTCTTTCCTTTTCTTAACGTGAAGGTTAAGGAGTGGTCGTATCTTTTTTCAGTTAAACTTAGTAAAGAAAGCTACCTTAACTGATTGTGTGTTTTCACATAACGTCATGGCGGCCATATTTGTGTCCCAAAACAATGAAGCGGCGGCCATGTTTGTGTCCCAAACCAGTCCTGTTTGAGTTGAACTCTTTTCTTATGTAAACGCTTTCTTTTGTTCCAATAAATTTGCATAGATGCTGGCCACGTGGATGAAAACACAGAATAGACTCTTGACGCAGGAATTAATGTTTTAAATTAACAACATATAGGATGATTAGCTTAAGACGCATGGCTCGTTTCTGCTGTTTACAAAAACAAGAAAGAAATTCAATTCTTGTCGCCACAGGGAAGTTGAAAATTTCCTTTCATTTATCAGAACTTAATGAATAAATCACATCAGGTCGCACACATTTCTTTGGAGATATGGGAAAGAGATTTAATACTGAACAATGTAATAGTTAATCAATCATTGGGGATCTTTGTAAACTGTTCATGGTTAGCCATAAACAATTTTTTCTTAAATTGTATTTCTTAAAACTCATCTTAATTCCTTTTGTTTTGTACTAATGCAATATAAAAACTCCATTAAAACTGCTGAATGAGGGAACGTGGGAGTGCTCGCTATTTTATCGAAAACAACAGCTGTCCTAAGCTTATAAATTCCCACCGAGGTTTTCCATCACTTTTTTTCGAGTTTTCTTTGGGCCTTAACCAACTTTAACTATTTTTTTGATGTTCTCCTAACGGAAACGTTGGAATGTTTTAAGAACATTTCAATGTTTTGTGGCATGAAAGTTAGACTGCAAAGGCGCAGTTTTTCTTTAAGCTTAGAGGAAGATGACAAATTAAAGGTGCGAAGCGCTGTAGCATGAAAGAGCATGAAAGAACTTCTGTCAACTCGCCTGCAGTCAAAGGCAGTGGTATCCGGTGGGAGGCGACGCAACTGCTGGGGTCACACCAGTAATTTTACCCATGGCTTGGTGGTTCTCCCCCATGGGGAAGTAAAATTTTGGGTGCTATTACACTAGACCTTTTCTCCAGAGCTCTCTCCTTGGAGAGATAGCTTGGGTTGGACACACTCTGAGGCTTGATCACATTCATATTGTGGTGACATATTCATATTGCGATTCGAAAAGAATTACTACTTAACAGCCAGCATTCGTCACTAAGATGAAACAAACTGATAGTCTGAAGTAACAAACGCGTAAATGTAGACGACGTATTCGTTTTAGTCTCAAAATTGAAGAGCTGGATCATTATTGCTGAACATATTTGACCTAATTGGTTTTATTAAAAGGCTAAAAGTAGCCAAAAGTGTTTCACGATTTCTGTGTACAGAGAAGTTTACGGCCCCGAAATCGAAGGTTTTCTTTTCTTTAATTAAGCAATTCATTAGCGAGTCACCCCATGAAAAGTGATCAGAACGCAGAAAGAGACCAACCCAAGCTATTTTTCTGAAGAAAACGTCCAGTCTAAACTTCCCTATCCTAAAAAATGGCTTTAGTCTGTTGTTGGTTATGTTTTTTTCTAACTAGAGGTTCTTTCTCCGAGTCATCTGGTTTTCTCTCCAAAAAGCTGCCAGCTTTATTAGTACAGTTCTGATCTGTAACGCGAAGCCACTTATCAAACGAGTTGTATAAAAACATCTTCAGGTTTTTTCTTGGATTAAAGTGAGAAACATATAAAAAAATGATGATAAAACTATTAATAATTTTCACACAATTACAAAGTATGGAATTGAAATTTTCAATTATACATTTAGGCGATGCACGTTTTACTCATTTTCTATCCTTATCTTTTACTTGCAATTAATATGTTGGGCTCTTCATTGCTTCAAAGCTTTACAAAGGAATAAAGTGGAATTGGTGAAATGAAACTTTCAGGAAAATGCGCATTTACAGTTTGAAGAATCAACTCATAAAATCTCTGTTATAACAGTTAGCAAAGCTTTTGTTATTGGACCCTAGAATACGTCATCGATTGAAGCTAAGGAGGATAACATACCATTTTGAGCAGAAATGCGGAGAAACAACATACAGAAGATTTGCAGAAATAGAAGCAAATCCATGTCTTCACCGGTCGCAATTCAAACAGTTACAATCACAAGTTCCACTGCAACAACCGACTGTTAAACGGACGTAATCGCTTCTGGGAAATATTTAAAAATTTGGTAAACTAAAACTTGCTTAAAATTATGGTAATGCACTTTTTTATTACACATTTGAAGCCATTGTTTTTATTCTTCCTTAATTTGCAAATAGTAGGATGGTCTTAAAGAAATAATTTAGCTTTTCTCCATTATTCTGATTAACAGTTCGTTGGCACTGATAAAGGATCTTGAGATGACCACCTGCCAACATAGCCTGCCTCAGTCAAAACAAGAAGAAAAGTTACTTTTGTATAATCGATTAACATTTAGAAAGAAAACTCTATTTCGGGAGCTTCTTTAAGAAAATTAACGCGTCATAAAATTTATGCAATTCCAAAAAAATAAATAAATAAATAAAGACGCGTTACTTGAAGTCGGGTTAATTTCCGCGACCTTACCGTTCCTTGTTTTAGCCTCTTGCATAGACGAGGGCGGAATTGGTCCAATCAGAAAAAGGAGGCGTATTTTTGAATAAATAATAACTTGTTATCTACTGAAAAAATTCAAGGAAGTCAACGCTTGTGTAATAACAGCATTGAAATTAACGTGGGTTGACGCAATAAATATAAATAGGGCATGAAATGAACGCGAAAGAAGCCGATTACGTGTTCAAAATGAAGAAAAACGCACACAACAAATGAATAATTGTCGGGACGACCAGAAAAAGGTTAAACGACCGTTCGAAATTTCTAATTCTTAACAACCAGCTAGTGGTGATCGAATTAGGAAGACGTTTGCGACGTTCCGATAAATGAAGTAAAATTATGGTACAGGCTATCGCCAGAAAATTGGGACGGCAACCGAGAGGCCCCCGGGACTAGGCAGCATTTTATCAGTTTGGTTTGGTAGAGCTCACACGCTTTGCGAAGAAAAAATAGCCCAAGTTTTGCCTAAAAAATACCAAAAACAGAAAAAGTACGACAATAGTGGCTAGGGCGCTGAACTTGTAATTCAGGGGCTCCGAGTCTAATTCAAGTCCCGTCCTGACTGCTAGCTGCATTTGTTCTCGGTAGTTCCGAGTTCAAATCCTCGGCCAGGCATGTAAATAGTCCACTGGTTTGCCTCCTACCGGTTGGGATTTTAAACCATGTTGTATTCCATTTAACCTGTTTGTTTCATTATCCCTGAAAACCCCACAAGGGGAGAGGATAATTAATTATTATTATTATTATTATTATTATTATTATTATTAAATTAATATGTTTTCTAACAATGCCTAAAGTATATGCAGGTAATCATCCTTAGACCAAAGTAACGGATCATTGATCCAAAATAACCATTTCCTTATATCTTGAATTTGCCGAGTAACGCACCAAAGAACAGAAAGAGAGAAGCACTTTTGAAAGACGGACAAACTATTATCAATGAAAAAGAAAACAGTTATTGTATTCGGCTTTCCTATGAATCTTGGAGGGGGTTGTTCAATTTGGCCTCGGCGGATAACACCCTCTTCTCGTCAAAGAATTGCGACGTTTCAATAGTGCATTGACAAAATGTTTGTTCGCTGAGTAAATTAACCTCTTAAATTAGGATCAGTAATGGTGGCTGCAAAGTAGCCAAAACAAATAAAATGAGATTTGTCGCGAAACACCTTCATTACATTAGTTTTCGAAGATACACCTCTAATCGATTTTCTTTATAACTTATAACAGCAGGGTAAAATTGCCGTAGACCATGCCTTACCTAATACATGGCAATGCATTGTAATATATGGTACCCACAAAATGACTGAACATACAGCTGTATACCCCTCAGTAAACAGACAAATATAAAACCCTGATAATATTCAATTCAATTCAATTCAATTTTATTATTCACACTTTTTCTAATCTGTATGAAGTACATTTTAGTGACTGAAAACGTAATTACATTGAAAATGATGGCACACATATATCATAGTACAAAATATTTATGAATTACATTTGAAATCTGGAACTGATTTGAATGCAACAAATTTTTGAGTTTTTTCTAAGTAGTTTTTTTAATGCTCTGTTGTAGTCTACCTTGGAAGAAACTCCAGGAAGGATTTTGCTCTTAAGAGGCTTTTGTATAGGAAAGTTCCAGGTTTATGGGGCCTCCATATTCTTCAAGGATGTCTAATAAAGTTAAGCGAGCTAGTGCAAAGATGTACATGTTTCAAAGGTTTAATATACTTAAGCCCCGTGCAAACGGACGCAACATTGTTGGCAAACAACTCCCAACATTGTTGGATGTTACACGTTGCGTCCGTTTGCACACCCTGTTGCATGTTGTTCGATGTTGTTGTGTGTTGTTGTGAGAAGTTTGAAACCGGTCAAAGATTTCAGCCAACAACTCCCAACATTTTTTTGGTTCCGTGATCGCCGAAGGGTAGCGCAACAATGTTGAATCCGTTTGCACAGCTCTTCCAACATTAGGAAAAACGCCGGTGAATAGTAGTCAACAGTTACCAGCGCCGTACAAACGACTTATTGACGAGATCAAGCAAAACTAACTACGAGAGAAGAACTGGAGAACTAACAATTTGACTAACAATAGACGACTGTTTAACTGCGACAATAGACGGATCGAAACGCACCAATCACTGATTACGAGTCTTCATAGCCAATAACATCACGGCTTAACTGACAGACGACCAATAACATCGCGACATAATTGACCAATCAGATCAATAACCCGAGTATAATACCATCAACTGACGTGATACAACTCACTTTGACTCTGAAGATGACTACCGCACAGGTTGTCGAAACGTCAGTCACTGTCAACAACAACAATCCTATTCAGGACTACGTTCACCCGGACGATCAAACTCAACCTTTTGAAATGACTCCTGGGTTCAAACCTTTCACAGTCTTCCAACATTGTTGGGGCCACGCTCCCTCATTACGCATGGTTTACAAAGACTTATGGGTTGTATCCTTCCGACGATGCACTGCAGGTCCCAACATTGTTGAGCCAACAATGTTGGGAGTTGTTGCGTCCGTTTGCACGCAGCCTTAGTGTTAAAAGAATAATGGTGAGCGGAAAAACCGTCAAGGATGCGTGACACTTGTACTTAGATAGCTGATGAGGTGATATTCCTTAACGAAAATGACAAAAAGCGTCGATCAAATGTTAAAAACAACAACAACAACAACAAAAACAACAACAACAGATGTTTCGGGTGTATAACTCTTATTCAGTTTACTTAGAATTGTTAATATACATATAAAATCGTAAATATTACATCAGTATCAGAAGCGTCGTTTAGCTGAAATGCTTAAGAATCTTCTAATCTGGCTTCTTTTAGTACGGTGTGTGTCTCTGGGCATCCAACGAATGGCTTTAGCAGCCCTCAGTACATGTATCTTTAGAGGTCTAACATTAGAGAAGGTGTACTCGAGGTGCCTTAGCCTTCCCATATAGTGGATTACAATGGGTGAGAGACAATCATGGAATCTGGATTCCACGCCGTGGATTCAGGATTCCGATTACTGGATTCCTGATATTTTCAGTGGACTTGGTTCCATATTCCAGTTGTAAGTGAGATGCTGGATTCCTACAGCTGTATTCCGGATTGGAAGGCCCAGGTTCCGGATTCCACAAGCAAAAAATTTCCAAGATTTCGGATACCATATGCAAAAATTCCCCGGATTCCTTTACATGTGGAGAATATATGCGTCCAACCAGTTTGGCATGTACATTTTGATACCACCAACTATGTTATATTTCGAATACTGGATTGTTTATGACTATTTGAGTCACTGGATGGATGCAAACTATACTAGTTAGAACAGCGAAGTGAACTTCTACCTTAAGCTGGGCATTCAGTGTACTGAGACCAAAATGCCTGAGTTAAGCGCTGATCTTTCTGCTTTATGTGGGACTATCTTCGTTTAAATGTAACAAGTTCAGTATTTAGATATTCTGATCAAGACCGCAAAGAAGTAAAAAAAGAAGTTTCCTTATGTTGGCCTGAACTTGATACAGGAAAGAAGAAAAATGGATGATAGACAATGTTGGACCCTTCAATGGTTAAAGTTAAGAAAAAAAAAATTCCCAGGTGGACTCGGGAAAAGCTGTGGCTAGAACGAGTTTGCGTTGCATGGATAGAAAAGAGCGCATTCTGGTAACTGAGGTCAGACAAATTTCATGGATATGCAAGTCATTGATGATATGCGAAGTTGAGATTCCATAGCATTTCAACTTTCCCAGTGTGTGATAGCCCTCAGATCCGTCCTTTCCTGTATCTCCAAACCTTAACTCAGAAACGGGAAGGAATGCCTTTTCGGTAAGAAACCCGCTATCTTCATGCCATGTTTTATCTCTGTAGTCGCAATTGCATTTTTTATCCCGGTGTGCGCATGAGTCCGTTAAGGCACAGCCACATTGACGTTTCTTAGTGGTGCCACCCCAGTAATCCATTTTTCGTCCATCTCGAGACACCCACCAAGCCTTTCCACCTTCAAGCAGCCTGGAGTTCAAACACTCGTAGCTAATGTACTGCTCACAACGTGCCGATACATCTGTCAAGGCTTCCAACTGGGTGAGGAGGACACCTGTGTATGTCACATAACGTTCATAGCACCCGTGAGGATCACAGCCGTCTACATGGGTCCTGTTTTCAGTGTCGTGACTAATAACCGTCACGCCAGCGCCTTCCTTGTCAGTCATGTTACAATAAGCCTGAAATGATGCCTTTCCTCCTGGACCATCAGGGTCAATGACGTACCAGTCGCTTGCATCACTGATATTGGCTTTTACTCTGCTGCACGTTTCAGGATAAATGACCTGGAGTACAATGTGAACAGCTGACCCGAAATTGGAGCTACTAGTTTGCCGGACGCATGTGAAAGTTCCTTCGTGACTTTTGTTTACCGATGTTATTCTCAAACTGTTTACGCCATCCGGGACAACCCCATCAGGAAGATCTTTTTTACCACTGTTGTAAAGCCACTTGATTATCGCGTGCCCGTAGATTGAAACGGGGCAGAAAATTGTTTTGTTTTGGCCATTATAAAGTGTTAGCTGGATCTCTGGACTTTGAACGCTCTGTGGCGCTTGAGTTGTCACTGGCATTTGGGTGTTCAGTGGCTCTTGGGTGGTCTGCGGCGTTTGAGCGGTCACTGGGGTTTGGGTGTTCAGTGGCTCTTGGGTGGTCTGTCGTGCCTGAGTGGTCACTGGCGTTTGGGTGGTCAGTGGATCTTGGGTGGTCTGTGGTGCTTGAGTGGTCCCCGGCGTTTGTGTGGTTAGTGTGTCTTGGGTGTTCTGTGGTGCTTGGGTGTTGCCAAACGTTCGAGTGGTATGTGGCGGTTCAATGCTTCCAAACACTTGAGTGGTCTCTGGCGCTTTGAAGTTCTGGGAAGCTTTGAAAGTACACGGAAAAACTGATTAGATTTAAACAAGTATTTTTAAAATGTGAAATAATCTAACGTGAAACTTTGCTTGTGTGACGGCGGCTAATGGATCACTGACTTCGGTCAAATAACTTAACTTTTGGGAACACTTTGTTTTACCTTGACGATTAATGCCCTCCATCATACGCGACCTTCAAAATTCAAACCAACCATCAAACAAATAATTAAAACGGTGCCTGTGCCTTATTTAGAAACTACACTGTATGCTGATGATTTACATAAGTATCATCTCTTCTTATTCTTTTTTTTTAATTTTTATTTCTTGATGTAATAATATACTCCTTTCATGCCTTTTCCTATGTTTTTAATTTCCCTTTTGTTATATTGTAAATAACATGACCAAAATTTGGTCATGTAAAGTAATGTATATTCTATTTTACGGATACTGTAATTCTCTACCCCAGAAATTCTAGGGGGATTACCTGGGTACAGTTTAAGGCGCAGTGATATCTGGGATAGCTTGGGTGAAAAACATTAGTTATGATTCGTAGATGGGATTCAAGGCAACCATTAACCAATAATTAGTAACACTTGTCCACCCAAAGAATCCCAATAATCGTTGAACCGAAAGCTTGTACCCATTCTCTTATTTTAGCCGGAGTGAGAATTGGCTTGCTTTAATGTGTTCACTGACTACAGGTCTAAACAAATTATAATTGCGGGCGACAAGAGGAGCCCACAGTCCTAATGTCCAGGTTGTTACTACTCATGAGTCCCATGTACGTAACCAGCATTTGTTTGGACTTCCACTAAGAATGAATAGAATGCACAGAACGCAATTTGATCACGAGCGTCTCGACCTTCTACCCCTCGTAATCTGATCACGAGTGTTTTGACTATCTGTCACGCCAAACCTACGCAAAGCACAGCATTAGAGCAAAAGCGTTTTGACCTCTGATCGTTGTCGCCCCCACTCCCTTTCCTTTGGTTACTAGTTTTATATGTTGAAAGTACCTCTGGTAGTTGTCATCGTATTTTCCTTACATCGGTATCCCTTGTCAGTATATCCGTTTTGACATGTTGAATGCGGCGGACACAAATTCCCTAAACAGGCGTTCTGAAGAACAATGACACAATATATTACATGTACAGAGTCTGAGGTACGTCGAAAGAAAGCAGATTAAAAAAAAAAAACGGTATTCTGAAAGCGGATTAAGATACTTTTTATGCCTATTACCTCTACTGAAAGACCCTGGACGTTTTTTTTTTTCTAACGTACACTAAATGGATTTAAGGACACTAATAACAGTTCTTTTTAAGACTATACCGGCTCACTTCAACGATCATGCTCCACCTACTTATAAAATGAATTCCGCGTTCAAACCTTTTATAGTACTTTGCTTGTTTGTTTATGTGTCTGTTTTACTTCATTAATTAAGTTCTTTTATATTGTATTGGCTCACGTATGGAGCATCTGAAATTGTAATATCTGATGTTTCGTTGCCATTTCTGATGTTATGAAATATATAACCACTTTAAGCCCATAATTTGTAACTCGTAGAAAATATGCGCATAATAGATGCCCGATTTGTTGATATCTTAGTTAACGTGGCCGTTACAAAACTTCCCCATCCGTACCGGATTTTGAAGTGCAGGGGGACACAACGATTTTTTTTTAGGAAAAAAAAAGGTGTATCTTGAATTAACTTTTAGAGAAGAGGCCCGCTAAACGTTGAGTTTTCCTAGAAACAAGTCCGTGAAATATTAGGTTGACTTTATAGCTCAAACGAATTCGCCCTCACCCTTTTTTATTTGGCGACATTTTTCTGTTTTTTCTGGTCTGTCTTAGTTTTAAAATTAGAACATAACGTTGAACTGTTCTGATGATGGACAAAAACCTAGATTCAATTTCCTTCTCCACAAACTGGCAGCGAGTTTGCTACTTGTGGAAACTTAAAGACTAAAGTTACGATGCTATTTCTTGTTGTTTTTTCACTGGACGAAAAAACGGATTTACTAATGTTTGCGAAAGGTGCAAATATGTGGTAAATTTGGAGCTCCAAATTTGCTTTACATTTGCGCTGTCGGCTAAAGTGTGGGCAAATTCATATATTTGCTAGATAGGTATTGATACGCAAAAGTCAAGTAAATGTAATGGTTTGATACAAATTTGATACATATTTGCAGCATGGGCAAATCTTCAACATTTCTACCAATTTACTCAAATTTACATCCTTGGCAAAAATGACAGTTTTCACTGTACTTCAAATGCAGGCAAAAATATTGCAAAACCACTAATTTGCAGTGGTGTTTGCTCTTGTTTTTCAGGATACCAAAAGAACACTTTTGCATGTGGTTTACTCGTATTTGCCTTAAGAGCAAAAACAATAAATTTCTACACATTTGGCTGTATCATAAATTTGAACATTTGTATCATAATTATCCATATTTGCAAGGGGAGCAAATATAGTGAACTGCATAACATTTGCTGACAGTCAAAGGTGATGTGCATGTGACATTTCCTATATGTTTGATTCGTTTTGTGACTAAAGTAAATTTCCAATCTCAACTGTAACATTACATTGTTACAATAAAATTTTGTACATGCTGTGAGACTCCGCCAAGAGGTCCAACCCCTTACATGCATCTTTCCTGTTAACCTTTTTTATATGCACTGTCATTTTAATATAAAGGAATCAGAAACCAGTTACTTTTTTTGACAATTTTACAGTCACAAATTTCTTCTGTTAGTCTTTTTACAGAACGAATCAAACTTGGTCCAAAATAAAAAGTTTTCTGGATTTCAAACTCAGGGTTGTGATTATTCACTTGTACACAATTTCCTCCTGGTCATTTAACCAACAAACTTAATTCAAATTAATACCAACAATTTTCGTTTAACCGGTATTTGTTGTAGTTTTGACTGCCCACCTAGAGATGACCGCATCTCGATGGTGGGCTTCCTAAAATGACCACGTTTTGAAAACCCAACAGCCAATGCTACAACAAAATATGGTGAAACTGCTCACAATTTTATTTGAACATTAACCCGTAAATTTGGTTTGAAAGTAATGTCACTCTATTGTCTTTTTTTGCATCTCTCGCAAGTTAAAGTGAGAGTTCACAGAGACTGTGCGGTTTTCTCGGGTGCGTTTTAGACGCTGCCGTAACAAAAAGGTTACTACACTACCGGAATTAAAACATCGTGGAAATTATTAATTTAAATCCGCGGAGTTTTTTCCCCAACAATGAATAATATTACCTCTAACTTTCTGCGATAACGCTGCAAAATTTTTTAGTTTATTTTTCAACCGAATAGGCTGCGAATTTAATGCGATGATCATTTTCACTTTCATACCTTCATCCGCATTTCATATATTTCAATTCATGCTTACAAGATCTCCCTAATTTTATGTCTGAACGCAAGGCTTTTTAATGGAATCTTCATTTCAAGGCCAGAACTAACACTAAGCGCTAAACAGAAACTGCCTTATGAAAAAACTTTTAAAATTGACGCGCTGTTTTAAAGGCCTCACTGGATCTGGATGGGGTTAAATAAAAACGTAAGCGAAACATTAATTTTGCAATATTTAAATAATGTCTAAAAAATAAAAAGCTTCCCTCTGAGATACCTGGCGAATAAAATTCTCACAGGGCCACAGCCTAAACAGGCTAAGCTGCTCTGTTGAATCAGGAAGGCCAAACTTTTTTTTCTTAATGCTGGACAGAGATTAAAACAATATCTAAAAGCGCGTTTTTAGTTCCCTCCGAGACACCCGGAGAATAAATTCTCACTGAGCCACAGCCTAAAAAGGCTAAGCTGCTCTGTTGAATCAGGAAGGCCAAACTGTTTTACTTAATGCGAGACGGGGATTCAAAAAATATCTGAAAAGCGCGTTTTTAGTTCCCTCTGAGACACCCGGAGAATAAAATTCTCACAGAACCACAGCCTAAAAAGGCTACGCTGCTCTGTTGAATCAGGAAGGCCAAACTTTTTTTCTTAATGCTGGACAGAGATTCAAACAATATCTAAAAGCGAGTTTTTAGTTCCCTCTGAGACACCCGGAGAATAAAATTCTCACAGAGCCATGCACAGCCTAAAAAGGCTAAGCTGCTCTGTTGCATCAGGAAGGCCAAACTTTTTTTCTTAATGCTGGACAGAGATTCAAACAATATCTAAAAGCGCGTTTTTAGTTCCCTCTGAGACACCCGCAGAATAAAATTCTCACAGAGCCACAGCCTAAAAAGGCTAAGCTGCTCTGTTGTATCAGGAAGGCCAAACTGTTTTACTTAATGCTAGACGGGGATTCAAAAATATCTGAAAAGCGCGTTTTAGTTCCTCTGAGACACCCGGAGAATAAAATTCTCACAGAACCACAGCCTAAAAAGGCTAAGCTGCTCTGTTGAATCAGGAAGGCCAAACGTTTTTTCTTAATGCTGGACAGAGATTAAAACAATATCTGAAAGCGCGCTTTTAGTTCCTCTGAGACACCCGGAGAATAAAATTCTCACAGAGCCACAGCCTAAAAAGGCTAAGCTGCTCTGTTGAATCAGGAAGGCCAAACGTTTTTCTTAAATGCTGGACAGAGATTTAAACAATATCTAAAAGCGAGTTTTTAGTTCCCTCTGAGACACCCGGAGAATAAAATTCTCACAGAGCCACAGCCTAAAAAGGGCTAAGCTGCTCTGTTGAATCAGGAAGGCCAAACCGTTTTACCTAATACTAGACGGAGATACAAACAATATCTGAAAAGCGCGTTTTTAGTTCTCTCTGAGACACCCGGAGAATAAAATTCTCACAGAGCCACAGCCTAAAAAGGCTACGCTGCTCTGTTGCATCAGCAAGGCTAAACTGTTTTACTTAATGCGGGACATGCACTATCATCTTCACAGATCTAATCAGTGCAAAATTAAATAAAGCTTTAACCTGTAAATCAATTTTTGGTTTATGAAATTTTACTCACTTTTACCGACAATTGATAGCCACTGGCTTTGGCAAAATAAATTTTCCTGTTTTCTTAAAATGGATTCGATAAAATTGAAAATATCCACTACGATCCGCACTTAAAAACTGAACTCTGACTGAATTGAACTGTTTGCGATCAGGCTTAAGAAATAGTGATCTCCATCAACATTTTCCATGAACATTACACTTTCACATCATTAGCAGTTATTGAGAATTTATGAAATGATCGAGGGATCAGTGTCGACCTTAAAACGTTTTTGCGCTAAAATGATAATAGGTAGCCATTTGAAGATGATACAAAGGAACCTAAAATAGTATCTGTCTTTCGTCTCAGGTCGTTTTCCATCAGTGACGCAAAGTACACAAGTCATGACAGATTAGCAGCTATTAATTGAATCCTAATTAGGTTTTTACAAGGACACCGGAAATTGAAACTTCCTCCCTGTGGTGAATTTCAAAGTCGTATGAATCTCGTCATGCTATAAAGAAAAAACTAAGGCGGTGAAACAAATTAACATGCAGCATTTATTCTCCCAGGCTGCGTTGTTCAAAGCTGGGTTAAGATAACCCAAGGTTAGTACGAAATATGAATTCAGATACGAAAGTTTCAAAAACAAATTGATTTAAATTCCTTTTGTCTACAATTTGGTGACTGGATACGTAAAAAAGAAAAGAGAAAATTATCTGACAAAATGCTTTTGATTAAAAGGATTAAGAAACGCGGGTTAAAATCTAACCCTGAGTTAGTGCTAATCGGTCTTTGGAACAACTGGGCCCCGGTCTTTTTTAGGGTCCAATAATTCTAAATCACATAACCACTTTGAAGTGAGTCAATGGTACACAACCTGAGAATGTGTTGCATTCCTCTTCTGTCATTTGATTATAATAAAGCCTAGGGTCGTACAACGGGCAAGGATGTCCGAGTACTAAAACTAGAAATTCAAAATCACACAGTAACTGTTCTATACCGTACAGATCGAGGGCCCACACTACTCCCCTTTATTATACAAGTAAATACACTACAACAAATCTACTGGACAAAGGTCCAGTAGTCAGATCATTACTGTATTTTTTTGTACATCATACTAAAAAATCAAATGTGGTCCAAAATAAAAAGTTTTGTGGATTTCAAACTCAGGGTTGGGATTATTCACTTGTGCATAATTTCCTCATGGCCATTTAACCAACAAACTTAATTCAAATTAAAACCAACAATTTTAGTTTAACCGGTATTTGTTGTAGTTTTGCCTGCCCACCTAGAGATGACCGCATCTCGATGGTGGGCTTCCTAAAAATGACCACATTTTGAAAACCCATCAGCCAATACTACAACAAAATATGGTGAAACTGCTCACAATTTTATTTGAACATTAACTCAGCCGACAAATTTATGAAAGGCTAATTTTTCTTACTCTGTTGTTTGCAACCCTGAGTTTGAGTTTCACTGATTTTAATGTTGATTTTGAGTTTTACTGTTCATGAAGTACTACCCATTCAATCCAAAAAAGTCATAGCATTTTTGCTGGCTAAAATTCACCTGAATCCTGGTTATTTGATCTTGGGATACAAGGAGCGGGGTTGTGGCTTCCCAACAAAAATTCTGATGAAGAGACGGTCTTCATATACAGGAGCTACCAGTCAAATCCCACCCGACAAAGCCCCCCTCATAAAAAATGAACAGACCAACACTGGGTTACAGGAGCTCTGAGTTGGCCTTGGATCATGAAAAGTTTAAAGCTATAAAAAAAAAAAAAACTAAGGCGGTGAAACAAATTAACATGCAGCATTTATCCTTCCAGGCTGGGTTGTTCAAAGCTGGGTAAAGATAACCCAAGGTTAGTACAAAATATGAATTCAGATATGAAAGTTTTAAAAACAAATTCATTTGAATAATTCGTTTTGTCTACAATTTGGTGATTTGATACTTAAAAAGAAAAGAGAAAATTATCTGACAAAATGCTTTTGATTAAAAGAAAAAAGAAACGCGGGTTAAAATCTAACCCTGGGTTAGTGCTAATCTCTCTTTTGAACAACTCGGCCCCGGTCTTTTTTTGGGTCCAATTCTAAATCACGTAACCACTTCGAAGTGAGTCAATGGTACATAACCTGGGCATGTGTTGCATTCCTCTTCTGTCATTTGATAATAGTAAAGCCTAGGGTCGCACAATGGGCAGGGATCTCCAATTACTAAAACTAAAAATTCAAAATGACACAGTAACTGTTATATATAGTTACAGAGGGCCCACACTACCTCCCCTTTACATAAAGTAAATACACCACAACAAATCTACTGGACAAAGGTCCAGTAGTCAAATAATCTACTGTATTTTTTCTACATCATAATATTATTATTAAAATGCTAACAATAACAAGGCCACCCACAGTACCTTAAATTTGGTCCAAAAAAAAAAGTTCTGTGCATTTCAAAGTCAGGGTTGAGATTATTCACTTGTACACAATTTCCTCATGGCCATTTATTCAAGGAACTTCACATCAAAACTGACAATTTTGTTCTTACCGCTATTTGTTCTAGTTTTCACTGACTATACCTAGAGATGACCACATCTTGATGGTGAGCCTCCTAAAAATGACCACATTTTGAAAGCCCAACAGCCAATAATACAACAAATGGTGAAATTGCTTTGTATTTCATATAATTTGTGAATAGAAACTAGCACAGACATGAACAAATAATTTCTTTGCTGCTCTTTACAACCCTGATTTTGAGTTCAATAGAATTTGTCTTTTTAAACTGATCAAACAGACTGGCGACATTTATATCAACCTTCGCTCAACAACATTAACATGGTGCATTTCTTCACTTAAACCTAAACTTCTTAGACCAACGGTGTTTACACCTTCAATATTATTATACCCTTTTCACTAAATGAGTCGAATTTTACTAGATTTATTTAGTATTGGAATTCACACAGTAAGATAACTTTTTGATTTTCCTTTTAAATAGGAATATGATATTTTATAATTGCTGGACAGAAAAAAGGTTCCAGCTAAAAATTTGTTTTGAGCAGTGACAGAAGACATGAAATAGTAAATCTCAACTTTGGAGTGTCTGAAGGCATTTTCTTTGCCCTTCCACAAAATGACTTTCTACTTTCACTCTGCCACTAATTTTTGCCATGACTTATTAACGCCAAGTGAAAACATAATATCTGAGGCATATTTCTGAAGCTACATGTCAGTGCTAGTGAGCAGTCATGGACTGCTGTTTTGAAGGGGCATCCGATAGCAAGATAGCCTTTCGAAAATCACTGAGCATTGGGTGGTACATATTGTTTACCTCTGTAGGAATAATGTTGTCACTCTTTATATCTCTGAGGGGAAACCTCTACGAGTGCAAATGTTCTATAGCTTCACACAATTTCAGTACATTATGTTTCCTGCAGAACACTGTGAAAGGGACATGGATTTACTTAGCAGGGCACGGCACAAAGTACAAGAAAACTAATATTGTAAAGATGCTAAAAATATAACACAAGGAACTACACGTGAGGTTTCTTTTTTGTGACATTTACCCCAAACAGATGGGGTATTGATGTATGGGAGCATTCAGTATAATTTATAAGCTTCACTTCTGTTATCTTCTGAAGAGGAAAAAATGATTACTGTAAATAAATTGAGACCCACTGGAATACCCCTGTAGCATTTCTTCATGCACAGACCACAAAAAGCTTCCCCATGTTGAACCTGTATTTGATTGACCTCTTTATCTTTTGGAGAGTTCAGGTGAAGCAACTCAATTTCAAGAACATTGGAAATTTAACTCCTGTACCACTCAAGGAAAAATCTGAAACAAATGTACAAAAAAGTCACTAAACCCACTAAAAATAACTGGTAATTCTACCTTTATTGAAAATATTGTGAAATTAAATGAATTGTGTTACTTGTGTTGCCATTATCTTTATGAACATTATAAATACACATGTGGCACATTTTAGCATTTTTGACCTTTGGACTCAGCTTACATGTACAGCTGTATCATTATAAATTATTATAAACAAAACGACCTTGTATATGAAAACATGACAAAACAAAACAGCAAAAAATGACAGTAAGGCATATAAAATAAAGGCTCCACCCTACCCCTGTCAAAATCAATGGTACATGTACAGGTATTACGCTCAATATGTCAATATAGCGCCAGAGGAAGTATAAATTACTCAAGCAATTAATCTTGAGCTACTTCTGCCAAATACCAATAAATTAGCACCAAATACCAATAAATTAACACCACTTAAATTTTTCAACAAGGCTTTTTTCAGCTGGATCACTACCATACGCACGCGACACGCGTGCACATACATGCTACAAATGTAAATATGGATGCAAATGTAGTTTATTCCCGGTTATAACATAGATGTGGCAGTAGAAGCACGATATACAAAGCAAAATACATCGACTTTACCTTTTAAATTTCGAATATCCTTGAGAAAAAATCCAGCAACATAGGCAATCTCTTCCTCCCGCCAAATCGCCAAAAGAACGCGCGCCCGATTTCCCAAGCATTTGCGCCTCAGTGGTGCTGGTCAGCGACAGTCTGCATAACCGTTCGAGAACGAGGCACAACAATTGAAATCGCCCAAATTTCGTCGACCGTTACCACGTTCCATTGCCATCGATTTGCCACCAGCTTTTACTTCATACGTTTAACGCCATATTTATCAAGAGTTTTCGAATTTTCCTTCTTTGTGGGGTTGACTGTCGAGTATGGAGGAATCGGCCAGTCTTATTTGTTCGAATTTATCGAACGAATGTGTCTTCGAAGAACTTATAAAAATAATCGCTCGAGCTTGAGGGAACTGCATGCTTATAGACTGTTCGACGAAAAGGAAATTGCACTTATCCACCATGAAAGACATCTAGATAGCTCCATCGGCGACGATCAAGTACTAACGATTGGATCCAAGAAAAGCAGCAGTTAGTACTTAGTTCATAGACTTCGGTGAATCGTTGCTGTTAGCAGACATTGTAAAACTAAGAAGAGGCAGGAGAAATGCAAGGACAAACAAATGCTGAGGGAGCAACTAATCGGGAGTAAAAGAAATGCTCAGTAAGTATAAGAAAGTTCATTCTTACTGTTAATCCATTAATGATGCTATTTGATAATACCTACATTTACATTCCCAATATTCAGTAATCAACAAGGACTCACCCCTACTCCTGAAACTTTATTTGTCCTGTTGTTTTAAAAAATACTATAATCTTTTATGTGGTTGTTCTCTTCAGATAAAATTTATCTGAAGAGAACAACCAAATAAAAGATTATAGTATTTTTTAAAACAACAGGACAAATTCGATAATGGTCTTGGAAATTTAATAAGAATTGAAGCAAGTGTTAATTCCCCTCTAAGGCCAAAAATAACCTTATCCTCTGGTGCCTACTTTCTCCAAAGGCTTTTCCAAAATTTAAAAGGGGATTAAAGGCAGTGACTGCCATGGTGCTGAAAACATAGAGTAGCTAGAATTTAGATCATGGTACCCTGCTTTCACTGATTTCTTTTTAATGATCACCTCATGTAAGGGATTCTGGAATCCGGGAAATTAATTTTTTGCTTATGGAATCCAGAATTCAGGCAATTTTTGTTGTGGAATCCTAAATTCTGAGCTTTGAAACCTGAAATACAGGTCAAACAATTGGAATCCAGAAACCAAGTAATCCACTGAAAAAGGTTCTGGAATCCGTAGCGTGGAATCCAGAATCTAAAACTGTCTTGGATTCCCTCATATGAGGCAATTATAGTATAATTAAACTTTTGTTCCCAAGATACACTGTAAGTGATGGCAATGTTGCAGAAGAAGCAGGTCCATGAAGTTTTAAGTAATATGTCAATAATGTTGTTATGGTAGTGATGTAGTGGGACACTCACTATAAAATTAATACAATGATTTATCTGGAGTCAATTGTCTTGTTACAAAAGGGTTTCTTCCATTCATTTTTTCATTTTGCTTTTGCTCAAAGAAGGTCTTAGTTTTAACAGGTACAGTGTAATCAGGATTATGATGACCGCTTGGGGTTAGATTTGAGACATGAAAGTTACAAGCCACCAATTTGTTTAAACTAGTTAATTTTGATATCAGTGAACTCAGGAAATAAGTAAGTTTAGTCACGTAGTGTGACTGCAGCCAGTAATAGTACATGTAATATCTAATAGCAACCTTTATGCTATAAAAGGCTAGAATATTTAGACAGAAAAGGACAATAGTATTTTTCATGACAACCATCTACAGCTTTAGTTTCAATATTAATGGTCTCAATTATGTATAATTTCTGTTTGTTGCAGAAAAAGCTAAAGAGACCACCCTTTTCCAGTCAACCTCTATTTCGAAGAAGGATTGTTGTAAGTTCAAAGCTTGTATAAATGTGGAGTGCATGTCTTCAGAGCAAGGCAATACAGACCAAGGAGATGACAAATCTGAGAAAAGTCCTTTGCAGGAGGCCTCTAGCATGGAGGAGTCAACAACTTAGCCTGTAAAAACCTCTTTGCCTAGCTGAACAGTAAAGCAAAATTGAAACAGTCACATGTAAGCCTGTCATTACTCAATGACAATAGAAAGGAGGAATGGCTTCTCCTCAGAGAAGGAGGCACCAGATAATGCTCCTGAATTTGCTTTGTGATAAGGGAATATAAGTTAATCCAATGCTCTTAAAGAAATTCCAGATTATTTTATGACTGGTCATACTTACAGGTACATGTACATGTAGCTCTGCAAATACAGTAATCCTTTAATCACTCTCTGTTTATGACACTGTTTTTAGAAAAAGATAAATCTGTGTAAACAGTACAAATCCTGATGGTGTTGATTTGTCCTGAGAATTCTGGTGGCAGGTAGATCAAATTGGTTGATGTGATAAATTTTTCATTAGAATCCTTTGGCTATTGTTTGCAAGTAATGTACCAGTCAGCAGGTTAAAAGGCCAATTAATGTACAAATGTTTCTTTTAAATCTATTTGCTTAACTGCAGGCATTTGAGTTCTGCTGGCACCACTTCACAGTACATGTGTACCGTTACACAAATTGCAACTGACCTGCTTGAACAAAAAAACAAAACAAATTTAGGTACACCCTGCTTTTTGTCATGATTTAGTATGGAATTTTGCAAAGGATTGCAACATGACTCAAGAAAAAGAGTAATGAGAGACAGCAGTGTAGTTATTTTGCAGGCTAGCCAGATCAACCTTTTGTACTACATGTACATGTATACTGAATTTAAAATAATTATTAGCTTCTTTCATTGGGACCAACTACAGTGACAATGGTAATGTTGACATGCTGTGGAATACTTACAGCTGGTCATTACTTTAATGACCCTCAATTTTCTTAGAACAGGGCAAGTACTAGAAGCTCCGGCTGGTACTTCCTCTAAGAGCATATCCAATACTATACAGGAACCATTAGTAACAAAATGAAGTTAAAGAAGTCTGATCTGAATTTGAATAGCTACATGTACCTAAACTATTTCTTAGTTTGCTAAATGCTATAACCCAGTTGTTATACCAGCAAAAATTGGAAATTGGTAGCAAGAATTAGGCCTTTCATTCTAATAGAGCCTAAAGACAAAAAATGCCACCAGAATCAAATTTTGTTTAATCTGTAAATAGCAATAAATTCAAAAATGCTAATTATTTATTAAAATGGGTTTCTTAAGGGTTCCATTTGGTTGGAACAGGATTTTGTCCTTAGATACAAAAGTTTAAGTAAGAAATAGTCTTGTCATAAGTAAATATTGGCCCAAGGGTAAAAAGATTTTTAACCTGTTTCTGAGTTGCAAAAAGCTAAACAACTGAAATAGGTTTGAGGCAACTCTAAAACACCTACAGCTGTCTGTAGAATATCTTACACATTTAGATGAAGAACACTTTTCTTATAATATTAATAGTTAGTAATGATCTGATAGAGTGGAGACAAGTAAACATCAACGAACTGTAAAATTGGGAATTAATATGAAGAGCTGTATGTACAGCTGTATACTGTAGTTTGTAAAGTCTGTAATAATGTGTAAGCCACTTTGGTTTATGGAATAAATCATTTGAACATTATAATGGGAGGTCACTGCTAGAATTTCTTTCAGTAACTTTAATGTTTGAAGCTATAAACTTCAAGATTAATTATAGCCACTTGTTATGAACCTGAAGTGAGCCATGTTATAATTAAAAATAATTTAAAAATTTTATCGCATTTGCTACAACTCAGGCAAACTCGTTTAAACCTTGGAATTTACATTTGCTACTTGTGAAAAAATGCTCAATTTTATGGGTTTGATGACATTTGCTAACCAAATTAAAGTCAGAATTTGATTACATTTGCTACCTGAGCGAAAAATTGTACAATAGTAACAGTTTGATCAGATTTGCTGCTTAAGCAACTTTGTTCAAAACTTGACTTTTGACCACATTTGCCGCTACAAGCAAAATTCTGTGTTTGATCAAATTTGCACACCCTAGAAAATTTGTTCAAAGTTTAGGTTTGCTAACATTTGCTTCGTGGGCATACATGTTTAATACAAAGAGTTTGGTTACATTTGCTATGCAAAGCAATCTGGTTCAATTATGAAAATTTGATCACCCATGATAACCCAAGCAAACATTGTTCAAATTAGATACTTCGCTCACATTTGCAAAGCTGCGTAAACGCTCTGAAAATAACAGGTTTACATGCTTTTACATCTAAAGCAAAAGCTGTGCAAAACAGCAGATTTGCGCTATCATTTGCGTAATGTGCAAATATAGTTCAAAGAAACATATTTGCCTACACATTTGAACCATCTGCAAATGACCCTCAAATCCATGGCTGCCCATTATCTTTGCACCAAGATGTAAATGTTGTGCAAATGTGGCATTTACCGTCATTGCTACGGATAGCAAATCTAGTGCAATATCAGTCTTTGCTCTTGCGCAAAATTGTGCAAATGTGGTATTTGCTACATATTTGCTGTAATTTGGCTACCCTAGTAAATCCATTTTTTCGTCCAGTGTTTGTTACGTTTATCCATCAATTTTGTTGGACAGTTTTTACCTGCTCATTCCCTAATTTGTGAAATTTTAACTAATGCATCTCGAGTTTGTCGTTTTCCGTAAAAGTGACTTTAAGTCTCTCGACGTTCTAGTATTTGTGGACGTAGTTATCATGTCAATACTAAACAGCTCTACTGTGATACCCTTTACCTTGATTGGTTGATAGACGGCTCCAAATTGGCGCCTCAGATCCTCTGGGTGGGTTTCATGGTCAGAATTACTCAATTCGCAAGTTATCGTTCCATCCGTAGGCGAAGTTACAACGTTGAATGATATACAGTCGCTTTCCAAATAACACTTTACATCGCAATCTGTTTCGTTTTGTACTTCAACGCTCTTGAAAATATGTCCTTGAAGATTATATCCCTTCATGGCAGACTTAAATTCCAATACGCGGCAGACATCTGGTTTGAGAAATAAAAAATTATAATAATAATAAAAAAATTGTACTACAGCAATACATAAAAAATACATTTTACAATTAAAAAAGGATGAAAGTTTGCTTCAAAGTCAACTGATAGTTTAATTGTTGATTAAAAATCAACAACAACAACACAAAGCGATCCACCTTGCGCCAAGAGGCTGGAATATGAAAGCCAAAATATTTTCCAAAACAAAGATGTCATTGCTCCCGAAACTTTGAGGTCACTCAAAGATGAACGGCTAAATGTTGGGTACGAGAAGAATATATACCCTTTTTAAGGCTATGGCCTTTCTTCTTTCATTTTTAAGTGGTCTCGACAGTGATGAAAAACAATCATGGAAGAGGGAATACAACGCATTTGTAATCAATATTTTATAACGATTCGCCTAATATTTAATTATTTATGAACGTTTTTAAACTTTCTCAACTGAATAAGGACAAACAGTCAGGAACAGGGAATCCTTTTTTTATTAAAGATTCCCCATATTTAATTTCTTCTTTGAAAATCCTTTTATTAACGGCAAGCCCAAGGAGTGGTCGTACCTGTTTTCACTTAAGCTTAGTAAAGAAAGCTGCCTTAACTGAATGGCTCCTGACGCAAGAATTAATGATTTAAATTAACAACATATCTAGGTTGACTAGCTAAAGACGCATGGCTTGTTTCTACTGTTTACACAAACAACGAACACATTCAATTCTTGTCGCCACAGGGAAGTTGGAAATTTCCGTTCATTTATGAATAAATCAAGCTCGCACACATTTCTTTGGAGATATAGGAGAGAGATTTAATATTAAGCAATGCAATAGTTCATTAATCATTGGGGATCTTTGTAAACTGTTCATAGTTAACCATAAACAATTTTTTTTGTTAAATTGTTATTTCTTAAACTCATCTTGATTCCTTTTGTTTGGCACTAATGCAGTATAAAAACTACATTAAAACTGTTGATTGTGGGAACGTGGGAGTGCTCGCTATTTTACCCAAAACAACAGCTGTCTTCAGCTTATAAATTCCCACTGAAGTTTTCCATCACTTTTTTTCTAGTTTTCTGTGGGCCTTAACCACTTTAACTTTTTTTGATGTTGTCCGGACGGAAAGGTTGGAATGTTTTAACAACGGTTCAATATAGACCCAATGTATGAATAAAGGCCACGCGTCACGCAAAATTTCAGCGAGGTTCAACTTTTACTTTCATGTGTGACCTTCCATACATTGCCTCTGTTTTATTCACGGGGAAAGTTTACACGCGTACGCGCGTATGCCACTGTAGAAATCCACCTTAAGTCAGCCATTCTATGTAGATTTTTTATGATGATATCGCCTGTATATAACTAAAAGCTACCCTCCCTCTAGAAACGATATAGCGTTAATAAATCTTAGTGTATGAAACTACATTGCTGTTTATATGTTCTTCGAGAAAAATTCTTCTTGGAAACAGCTGTTCTACTCTGTTTGGGAATGCGTAATCAAGGGAGACTAATATTAAGGTTCGGATAGACGTCGCTAAGAAGGATATCGAATACTCGACAGTAGTCGCGTGGACTGATCTCAGATGATGACATATATACTAGTACCTGTAGCTGTGAAATAACATATTAACAAACGAACTTTGAAGAAAAAGAGGCCAATAAAAAGGCAAGCGGAATGCCAAAGGACTTAGCAACAGGTATTTTCTACATTCTGCCGTTGGATATATTTTGCGTTTTAAGACGGGTTTTAGGGAAAACATGCTTTTCTTTATTACCCGAGACCCTCAAAATTCCCGTCGACAACAATAAAAGTCGAAGCAAAGGGAAACAAAGCTCACTGCATCTTCCAATTGGTCCATTATTTACGTGTTTTTTATACCTCCCAACTAAGAAATTAAACAAAAAAATATATATTTACATTTCCGGCCATGACTGCGAAAAATATTTGCTGGTGCGACCAACAAATATATTTCCCCCAGATTAAATGTATTCAGTGAAAGGTAAATTTTTGAACGGTAAGGTCTAGTGGCTGATAAAAATTTTTGAACAGATGAGGCTTACCACCAAGTGAGTGAGTCATTTGTTTGTCGTGTGAAAGGAAAAGGAAAAGAGAGGTGGATTGACTAGCATTAAAGGTTGTTGTTGTTGTTGTTGTTTTTTTTTTCTTTGTTTTTACGCTAGTAAGCTTATCTCGTACTATAGTTAAAAAAAAGACTGACATAAAGAAATAATAAAACGAAAAAGTAAAAAAAAATTAAAAAATAAAAGACTTCATGAACACTTGTGTGAAGAAAACTTACTAGTGTTTAATGTTTCAAGGTGCTTTGGAATTTATTTGACTTGAAAACATTCGATTCACAGCATAGCTCGAAATCCTGCTGTGTTTTTCAACTTCGAGTCCTCTTTTGCATAGGATTTCGCCCCAAGTGGAACAGAGCACATTAACAACACGTGATTTCTACTGACGTACCTCGGGAACTGTCATGGGTAATAGCCCACGTTAGATATATTAAAATTCTAACATGACTCCAAGGATTTAGGGTCATTTTTCAACAATTGGTTTGGTTTTCTTGGTGCTCAAGTCTCTTCTGGGAATAACGGTGGAGTCATGAAAAATTTGCAATTCTTCTGGTAACTGCGATGGAGTCAAGAAAAATTTGCCATTCTGCCCCTAAAGCCTCGGAGTCTTGTTAGAATTTTAATACATCGAACCATTTACCCATGGGTAAAACGGTTAGTTTGACCGCGCCTAATATTCAGTGTTTTGAAGTTATAATATTTATTTCTTTTTGATTAATGCGTACAACGTATCTTCATGTTTGTTATGTTTCAGTGTGTTTACTTCATGCATATTAAGCTGAATTTTACACACTTTGTGTAGTAAAACCAGTCTCTGGAACTTGAAAGGAAATTGTTAACTAAAATTATCTCGGAGATCGAATATGCCATAAAAGGCATGCGGCAAATGTTAAAGACATTTATAAGAAATAAGATAACATCTATAGGTGAAGGGACCATAAAGGCAATGCTCTAATTATACAGAGAAGAGGGCACTTACTTAAAAAAATATATCCTTAAGACATCATCTAACATCATCCGGCCTTTTAAAGAACCAAAAAAGGTGTGAGATCAGGGCATAATACCACAAGAGTGTATTATATCGGAGGCTCGTTCCGAACATATTTAGCTATATTTGGTGAGAAGTATGCCATTCATCATAAAAGGAGATTGATTATGCATATAATACATAATGGAAAGCTCGGGGTAGGGTATATGCACTTTTGCACGAGTTATTGACTTTCAAGAAACAGAACAAATATGTGTAGGTGTGCAAGATGATTGTTACAAAAGCAAGGTTGCCTAGACAACTGTAAAATATCGTACTAAGCACTTTCCAACTTTTTTCTTCTTTTAATTTTTTCGTGCTTATTTGTACACAATAAACTATTTATTTAACAATCACTGCTTTGTCTTTGATGTTGGTGCATAAACATAGTTCCATTATGTTCTCCGTGACCTTTCATCTTTAAGCTAGAAATTGTGATGTTTATGTGCGAAGCTTTCGTTTGTATCAAGGATCTGAAGAGATGCGAAGTTTTGTCAGCATGCAGTGAGTGGGACGGGGCGCCAAACGATATTGCGATTATATATCAAAAACACCTTAAGCTGTCTAAAATTATGCCGGAAAAATTATGACAGTCTCGTACCATATATAGAAAAGCTCTATCGGCGATGACAGCTGAGACATATAACAAATACAGAGAAATAAAAAAATAAATAAAATAAAATAAATAAATAAATAAAAACCGCAAAAGAGTAATGGATGCATCAGGTTCTTTCCGTTGTTTCGATTTCGAAGTACCAACTGCTTTCCATCGCTTGGTCCTAAAGCATTGGTGAAAGTCTAGACTAGGGCTTGGTGCTTAAGTAACTCGAATGTAAAGATCAAAACATGTGTCAGCTTGAAAGGTCTCCATATTACTCTTTTACACATAGACTGTAAAGCAGACCCCCTTCCATGAATTCAGGTCAGTATCTTTTAAAAACTAAAAAGTATAAAGCATATCGGAAATTGGACAGGAATAGTTTTGTTTATTTCTTGTTCAATGAAAAAAATTGTAGAGAGTCGGGAAAACAACAACAGAACTTCTTCGTCATTTCGCGATGCGCCGCGGCATATTTTATCATTTTAGCAGTTTGGAAAGATTTGAAATAAAAGACTGACAGGATGATGAATGTCATGGAAATTGCTTTGAACGGTAATTGCGCACTGTTTTTTTTTTTTTTTTGAAATCAGAAATCACACTCGTTCGCTGCGCTCACTTGATTCCTGATACGTCAACAACGTACTCGTGCGTAAATAACGTATGTTCACTCGCACTTTCCATGAAGTATTCTATATACATGTCTTGAATATGCTCACTTTTTGGCTATATAAGCGCCAGCACTCTTACCAACGTCGAAATATAAGCACTTAAGTTACCATCCTATATTTATAGTCATATTTCGTATCGAGATAAATTTAGGACACCACGTTCATTAAAATGCTAAGAAATATTTTTGGCTTTGCCCAGCCTACGTACCTACATACCGCAAATAGTGACGTTAGTTGAGTTATAATAAGCTTTACGCTGTGTGAACTAAATTTTCTGCTGACGTTAATACTTGTAAGAAAGAAAAAAAAATGCGGTTTCTTCAGCGGACGATCTGAACCGTGATCAGATGTCATTAAATATACCAACACCGCCCCCCCGACCAACAAGAACAGCTACGAACATAGACTGAACTTTGTTTGTTTGTTTTTTTTGTTTTGTTAACTGTAGAATGTTGGTGGAGGGCCAGAACTTCAGGGGCTCATACCAATCCTTAAACCACACTTCACTTGTCGTTTAATATCTCCTATATTTATTATCTATAGGAGATATTAAACGTATGAGCTGATTTTCGCCTGCAAGTTTACAGTTAATATGTCTCAAAGATAAACGAACTGCTACTAAAATGAAACAATGCCAAGAAGAAACCCCCCTGAAAAAAAACTACCCACCCCCCACCCCCTTGTACGTCCGATGGTTAATTAGTTTTGTTCCGTTTATTTACAGAAAACGTGATGTGCTATATATGGTTAGTTGGACAGTTAACGAGAAAAACACTTCGTCCTTTTCAGTGGATAATTTAAGTTTGAGTTCTTTTAGTAACGTATTTCGTTAATTTTCCCGTTCGTTTTTATGGTAGTACGTAAAACCTGGGTCCCATGCTTTACTTACAGGCCAAGAATGCATTTGGTCAGTAAACTGGTTCATTGTATATTGAATACTTAATATTATTATTTCTTGGGTAGGGAATTTTTGTACCAGTTATTGACGTAACAGAAATCGAACGATTGAGCACAGTAAGATTAATGATGTAAAGCTTTTGTTTGCATAAAGGATCCGAAGAGTTCCGAGGTTTTGTCGCCGATGATTAATACCTTTCCAACAGTGATTATAGGGGAGCTCTCGCGCGCTTAGCGGAGCACCATGCGTAAGAAAATGATGTAATCTACCCATCCGAGAAAATTTGGTAATCACGTGACCGTACACCGAGAGACCGTCCGTCCGCACTACAGGCATACCAATGTAAAATAACTCAGTCAAAAGGTATGGCAACCCAAAGGCAACTCGAGGTTATTTATGCGGGAAATCGCATAGCCACCGGCGTCTTGTAAAGCAGAGACAATAAAAGAGTCAATAAAGACGAAAACGGAAAGCGGAAATTGTTTCTGTATCCGTGTTGTCTAAAGTATTAAGCTTAGATAAATTGTCATGTCCACAAATTTGGAATATAGAGCAAGAGAAAGACAGAGAAAAAAAGAAAGTGGGCGGCAGGCCAGCGAAGCTCAACGAGAAAAAGGGCGACAGGGATTTAGAGCGAGAGATAAAAAAACAAAGGAGACATATTTTTGTTGGAAGAACAACATGAAAATTTTGTAGCGGTGGTGACAAAATGAAAAATGCTAGCGGCCACCAATGCAAGGTGAAATTGAACGGCAGTGAAAAAAAGTGAACGGGAACACGTACGACATTTCCTCCATAAAACGTGTACCTAAGAAGTTTCTGGAAGTTTTACGTTGTAGTTGTGCAAAACAATGGCAAAGAATTGTACACAGAAAGTGTGCTGCACGTGCAAAGTTGCTTTTGCTAATTAGACCTATTGTTGTTTTTCACCGTTTTCCAGCGTAGCATGCCTTCGCCACTTAGCGTTACACAATTTTGTATTTTGTTTGAATAAACCATAAATACCATCGAGAGCTTCGCTTTTAGCCCTGGCTAAATTTATATATTAAGTAAAATGTTGGGTTAGCTGTCTAAAATTATGGCTATATTGTACCTGATATCAGCCTTTACAAAAACCGCATAATAATTGAAGAGAACAAACTGGTGACGTTAGTGTCGTTTTTCTTTTATTGGATACAAAATAAGAACCTCCTGTCTTCCATTTCTTTGAGCCCCATGACATGGGGAGGTTAGGGATTAAGGTCTTTAAGTGACTCTAATGTTAGAAAAAAAGAAAAAAAAATAAGATAGAAAGAGAGAGAAAGGAAAAAAAACAAGGTCCTTAAAAAGTCTCTTAAAACCTATTCCATAATTAGGCTACAAAGCAGGCCACCCGCCCCGCATTCTTTTGATTACCACGCATGCCAGAGCTTTCCCACTTTACATTTACCCTTTAGCCTCCGGTATATAAAATCAATCATTAATTTCCCTATTGAAGTAATTTTTGCTAACTGATAGGATTTATTTTATTATCATCATTAGTTTTCTTAATATACAGTTAACCAGATAAATAATTATATGGTAATAACAACAACAACAACAACAATTTTGTTGACTTTATCTTCAACATGAAGATTTCAGTATCAAAACAGTCAATATCATAACAAATGAAACAAAGTAAAGTAAAAGTTGAGTAAGAAATAAAGGAAGTATAACTATATATTGAATATTAACATAAAAGAAAATTATTAAACTACTCGGCTGTGTACGGCTTCTACGCTACTCATATGGCAAGAAAGTTAAATTAGAGTTCGGATTTATAACAATTTAGAATATTTTCAATATAAGAGGCACTAAGATTTATGATGTTTTTCGCACATAGACATGATATATAAAAATAGTGCCTTGCAAAATATATTCGTAAAATTACTGTTTATAATAGATGCAGGACAATCGGTATTGATAGCGCTTTTTATATTCTTTTTCTAGTTCTTACGATAGATTTGTAAACAGACCATTATCCGGTATCATAAATTTACTAATCTTATGATTATTTCTAAGAAATATCGAAAACCATAAATGAACAATCTAACAACTTAGCATTTTTAATTTCTTTAAGATCGGCCCCATGGAAAAGCTGTTTTCATTAAATTACGGGGGAATTATTCCCAAACTAATACAATCTCGGTATTGGATTTAAGGCATGTATGATGATATAGTTATATTAATGCTTGTCTTGAATAAACACAACTTTTGGCTATAATTAGCGCCAGTATTTTGTTTGACTCACATGACATCCTCTTAAGGCATATAAATAAAGAAAGCCAAAACTGATTATTTACAAAACACAGTCGGTTTTGTACTGTTGCCGCCATGGGCTTTAAAATTCAGCTCATGGCAGTTTTACTGCTTGCAGCCGTTAGTGGAAGTCGAGGTACCTACATAACTTATCCCAGGTTTATAAATTGATAGCCGTGAAACTAACTTGCTGGTTATTATTATTATTTTTTTTCTATGTAGCTTCACCTGCACTCAAAGAAAGTAAGTAAAGTAGAATCTAACCATGAGAATTTTCGAATTCTTCATGTGCCGTACGGCCCCGTCCAGACGTATCCAAAAACCGCATTCCAGGGTGTAGATTTTTGAAAACGCGGTTTAGCTGTACTGAGGATAGTTGATATTCAAACGGAGGTTTTGGAAAACGATTGCGTCACGGGCACAGATACCAGAAAATGTGCATACTCCCGTCAAAGATCTCACTGACAGATACCGTTTTCAGTCACTATTGCGTTTTTGTGTGGACTGGCAAAAACGACTCAAAAACGCAACGTGTGGACGCGGAGTTTTCAAACAAAAAACGGATACGTGTTGACAGGGCCTTAGGGTGCAGTATACGTAACTTCGCACCCCTGTAGAGCGTTTTTACTCAAGTGTCCAGCATCTATTTATTGGAACAAAAGAAAGCGTTAAGAACATAAGATAGAAGGCGTTAAACTCTGACGTGATTGGTTACAAATATGGCCGCCGCGACAGTCAAATGAAAACGATAAAAGATACCGTAAAATGCCGAAATAAGCACCTCCATGTATAAGCTCCTCCAAATATAAGCCCCTCACACGCGTAACGCAGAAAATGCTCTGTTAAATCGCCCCTGCGAATATAAGCCTCCGGGGGCTTGTACTTGGAAAGTGCCCTCATATACAAAACAAAACAAGGCCACAGCGGTACATTAACATTAATTCTGTATTTGCCAAAGAACTATTACGTGTGCCAAATAATTGCAGTCAGAAAGTGTCACAGCTTATTTCTGTTAGCATAGTTCCTCTTCACTCCTTGCTTGGATTTCCTCGGTCCTTATAGACAAAGTACTTGCATGGCTACGTTTTAGAAGGGTCTACGTCCTCAAGGCGAGTTTCAGCAAAAACCTTCTGCAAATTGCTGAGACTTAAATTTCCTTTCAACTCTTAAGCTAGCATAATCGATTTTGAAACGCAAACTTCCCTCCTTATATAAGCCCCTCCAAAAATAAGCCCCTCAAAAAGTGCATTTGAAAAATATTAGCCCCAGGGCTTATTTTCGGAATTTTGCGGTACTGAATAAGATAGTTATTTGTAACCTGGCCAGCAAGTAAAAAAGATCCATGCATGCCATTCCTATAGAATGGTAAAAATAATACGAGCAGTTTTTCTTATCTTTAGGATTAAACTCGATTCTTTTTCATTAACAGAAATATTCTCCTTTGTATCGTTTTAAGTTTCTTATTAGTTCCAAGTTTAAATCTTTTCTAAAAGTAAGGGAGGTGTAAGGGGTGAGAGGAAGTCCACGTCTGGAAACTCAGATGATTTATGTCGGCTTTCACCACCTTTTTTTTCCCTTAGGATTACTACAAGTTTTGAAGTTGTCAAAAGTTGGTAAGAGTCAATGTTGATAACTTAACAAGTTTCTGTCCTTTTCAATTCCATAATATGATGCCTTTCTAACTTTCACACAAGATTGCATTGACACTGGCTACTACAAATATATATTCCATTTCGCATTGTCTTTGTTTTATAGATATAGTATAGATCACAGATAGCTTAAAAATTTGCCCGGGGGTGGGGGTACTACGGTTAATGTTTGCTGGGTATGCGCCGCTGGCCTCTTAGAGCCCCTACCCCATTATAGTCTATTTTTGGCCAATTATAGACCACATTTTGGAAAATGTAATTTTTGCGATCCCAACTTAGTTCCTTTCTATTTATGCATCTACCTTATCAATGTGGTTTCAAGCGTCACAATGTAATGCGGTCAATGCGAGCTTATTGTTAATTTTACTAAAAAAAAAACAACATCTTTCCAATTCTTTTAACCAAGAATATTCCCATTTTGAATCCCTACATACCCCAAAAAATTTGTTCTACTTTCAGTTCTAATTTCCGAAAATTTGCGACCACATTCTAATAACTCTATTGAAAATGCGACCCCATTATAGTTACTCCAGCC